AAATAAGTGTATTTTTATCTGATGTTTAAATAATGTATATTCACTGTGAACATCGAGCATTTTGTGTCTTACGCTTTGTATCAGTCTGACAATGTTGTGGATTTAGCTTCATTTTTCATGAAAACATGATTTCCTTTTCATTTTCATGGATACCTTTTGTTTTTGGCTTTCTCTCTCTCTCTTTCTTTCATTTGTTTCTCTCGCTCTCTTCACTTTCGTTTTGCCATAATTTTTCTAATCGGTTCGCGATCATATTTAATGGTCGTTAATGGGAAAAACAAAACATACAACATAAATTTTGTTGCGAGCAACGAACGAATAAACAGACAGAACATAAAACGAAGAAAAGGGGACGAAGAACAAGAATAAACAAAGAAAAACGAAAAATAAGCGGATAGATTAGGCGTTTATATCAGTGTGAATGCGAACAAAGAAAAATTAAATAACGAAAATTTGTTTTTTTTTTTTTTTTTTTTTTGGTAAAAGAGCACGCAAATGTGTTCACGCTGTTGCTATTTCGTGTTTCATGTACATTATAGTCATCGTCGTCATCATCGTCATCAGCAACATCATTATTAATATTATAGTATTTGAATGAGCCAAAGAATTAATCAAACGTATATACTTACTAGTACTGTTTGGCAAAGTGTTCAAGAGGAAAAGAGAATGAGATAAAGAGAAACGGACGGGCACAATAACAATTAAACGATTTAAATACAAAAATATTTAAAAAAAAGCCTTGACAAAGGTGTGCACGATTGCACCTAACGATCGATAGCGAAAATGCAAAACGCAATGTCACGACAAAAATTTCTCATTTGAAAAAAGAGGAAAATAAACGCACTGACATCCACAGGTTTAAGAACACGATGCAAACATTCGTTTGACTTACTAACAACGTCATCGATGAATGAAGGGAACAAGACCAACGCCAACGACACACACACACAAAAACTAAGAACTATATTTAGTTTCATTCGTGACATTGATTGGGCCGCTTCGTTTCAACTTCGGCATATACACACACAATTTCTATTCGATCGTGCTTTGCGATATGCCAAAACCACCTGTTTTCACATTTTAAATTATCACTTAACATTCTTGCAATAAAATTACTATTAAAATTATCGCTCTTTTTCGGCGCAGTTTTGTGATTTGTTGTCGATAAGTTTACTTGAATATAATATGTTAATTAATTGTTTCATGAATAGATTTTGGAAGCTCGTTTGTTGTATTTTATTCATCGTCTGTTCTTTTGTTTGTTTGTCGAACCCATCATTTTTGCTTCAGCTCCATTTTTTTTCATGCTTTCAGGGCAAAAACAATTATGAAAAAAGTTACATTCATACACGTTTTTGCCTCTTTCGTTCTCCTGCCCCATTCAAATGTTCGAGCATTGTTGTAACAACCCGCAAGCGATGAGTGAAAACAAGTATTTAAAAAAAATATATACCATGTCAATTGGTGATGACGAATTCATGGAATTTTCCATTTTGACACAAGTATCTGACCCACCAGAGGCAATATAACAATAACGCTGTTTGTTTATTTTTTCGTTCAGCCGGGATGCGACACCATCAATTTGACTACTTTTGTATGCCAAAACGTTATTTTCGAGTATGACATTTTGACATTAATTAGTCACAAACATTGCAATTATAGAGTTGATGATTTTCAAGTAGATTTTAAATGATCCACAATGGATGTTGTAACGTCACAATGTACACGTTTCACAAATTATTTGAATGGATTTTTTGCAGTATTTTTCGTTCAGCCGATAGAAAAGTAGCCTGAATGAGTCTTCATTTGGGAATTTTCATTACATTTTTTTTAAACTTTGTGGTGGAAAAAGTTCACTAAAGGAGGAAATAAAATGCCCAAGAGATCTTCGCCTAATTTTCAGGCAAAAAACTGCTACGAAAAAAAAACTTCAACCTACATCAAATCTGGTAATGAAACCGAAAAAAAATTCAATGTTACACCAAATCAAAATGACATATTCAATTTGAATCAAAGCGTTAAATTAAAAAATATCGTAATTCAGAGAATTGTATTTTCACATTTCATCTGGGAATATGCACAATATAATACGGTTAGTTTTTTAGGTCGACGTTTTCACTTCCGTAACCAAAATTATGACGTGGTTCTCTATATGATCTTTTTTTTTTTGAATTTAGACTCATGTGTGTAGTTGGTTTTGCCTGGCGTCACATAATTAATGACCTTTATTAAATATCGCGATACATTTAAAGATAGATTAAATACTTTTCAAAAATAAAATCAACATTAACACCAGCGTTTATGATTCATTTAAGTTGGAGAAAAAATAAATGAGTCAAAAAGCAATGCAACTTTGTTTTGCTGTAGTGGATTCGGTTTATACCGTTGATATGTGTTTGCATATTTCCAGTCATCTGAATGTGGTTCAAATGTGTTCCAAAGTTAAAAGTCATTGAAAATTTCGCCACCAATTTAGGTTAGTTCAAGTGCAACTAGTGTCATAGTTTGAAAAAAAACTAGTGCAATGCATCGATTGAAGCAATTGAAGACTTTTATGAGTTGTTACAATACCAATGCAGCACATCATATTAACACTCTATCTAATTGCTGTTAGCATAACTTTCGAATTATATAATTTATCCATTCAATGCAGACATTGGTACTACTCAAGGTGAAAGAGTGATTTAGTGCATTTAGATCCATTTTTCCTTCATCTCCAAGCCCATTTTTCCACCCTTAAAGTTTGACCTTGGATTTTTTAAATCAGAGAATCACTTAATTTTACATTACGAAAAGATTTGAACACAAGACAAGTCACTTACAAAGCGGATGGATAATGTACATTTGACGCAGAATATGATTATATTCACTCGGTTTTTTGAAACTTTTGAAGATTGCGGCAATCAAACCGAATCTCAGATCCATGAAATTTTTGCTACTTTTGCCCGCAAGCTACATACTCTTACGTTGGCAACGAATAAAATTATGTTTTACGTGCGCTCATCAACGAGTTGTCACTCATTGTTGTTGTGGCAGCGACGGCGGTTGTTGCAGATGATGGTGACAGTTGCACGAATTCCAAAACGCAAAAATCACTGCAACATGTAGTGATGGAATTTCGATTATGTGTGCAATCCCACCTAATAAGCAATCGAAGTTGGTACAATGTCGAAGATGAGAGCAATTTTTTTCGCGTCGTTGGCATATTCTCGTTGGTTTTTTATTTGTATTCTTTAAATGTGGCAGTGGGACATTGTGGCTTTTACACTGCCACCAATAATGATTAATTCATGACTATAGTCTGTCGCATGACTTTTTGAAAGGTTATCAAACGAACACGTTGCCATTTCGCGCAAGCACCCATATAAACACAATCATTATTTGCGAATATTATATAGACCGAACAAGTGAGAATATATGAATGACATGAAACAAGGAGATAGCTAAAGAAAGAAAAAAGTTTTTCTTCTTCTTCATTCATTGTGTATAAAGTCAACCAACACGAGAATAATACATTTAAATACAGTAAATTGCAGATGCCAGGCGATATGTTTACAAAGCGGCAAAAAAAACTCTCTCTTTCGCTCACATACATGCTATGTTATATTTTTATAATGGAAAACAGCGTGTTAAGCACGCACTTTTAAGTGGTTTTTCTGTGTAAATGAAGAGGGTTCGAATGAGAGCGCGTGACATTTTCCATCTTTCGATTTTTTTTTTCATTCACTGCACAACTCCCATCCCAAAATACTTTTGGTGTCCCTTCATCCTATTTTATTCTTTTTATCAACATCATGGCATATTTTATGGTCTTTGAATCTATTGATTGATTCTTCACTTTGGTTGTCTTTTATATTTACCGCTTTTTTCCTGCCCTATGTATGCCATAAATTATAAATTCTGAACTTTCACTGTTCCGTCGACGTTTCTATTGTTCTACATCTTCAGATTGTCGTTTGGCGTCTGCCTAGCTCACATTGCATGATTGAATTGATGCGGTTACTTTTGTCCTTTTTTCATGGAACATTGATTGCTTGCCCGTGCGTTTTTCAAGCACCTCGAATTTGATGAATGTGTGATATTTTCGCAATTTACACACACACACTAACATAAATATTTGCTTTTAAAAAAGCTCGATATTTCTTGCATGCAGCAAAGCGTGAGCCGATGAATAAAAAAAATTGTAGAAAATAAACGTTTTGGAATCAAATGCGAGCCATAAAATGTCACGCATATTTTGTTCGTCAGAGGGGATTTTTTATGTCACAATTTGGTTATTTGGAATATTAATGTAACACACAATATTATATGAAATCATCCAAATCGATCTTTTTGATGTGCGATAGTCCACAGCGTATAAGACATGGAAGACATGCACACACGCGTCTACGCATCAAATGATTGAAAAATATAAAAACTCAATTCAAACTAACATGATTTCGTTGAGACTTAATTTTCTATTGATCCAATCAATTTGGCTGATCAACGACAACCAAATCATGTAGAAGATTTTCTTCTGCTGATTTAACAATCCTGGAAAGAGCATATTGTTCGATTCACTACACTCACTTACCACAGCACTGAATTAAGCTTGCTCAAATACATAAAAATCCAATTTTTTTTGTTTGGCATTTCCGTGTCAATTGTAAAAAAATGCGAGACCGAACGAATGGTGAGAAAAACAAAGAGACAAACGTTTTAGAGAAATTTTTTTACAAAAACATTCACAAAAAGCTAAATAGTGATGTGAAATAAAAGGTTTGGCATTTAAGTGTATTTTTGTTGGTATCGTTTAAACGATCTTTCTTAAAACGAGTGGAACAAAAAGAAAACTAGAAAAAAAAAGAACCGAAAAGAATGAGGAAAGGCTATTTGAACAATATTTCGTACTCTTCTTTTCTCACAAACGAATATTTTCTTTTCCATTTCACTTGCTTTCAATGAACAATAATTTGCGAATAAAATTGAGTTATAAAAGTGTTTATAAACGGATATTACAGAAAATATTGTATGTATCACACGGCGCGCACTGGTGACCATCGACAAACTCAACAGTGAAGTGACAACACATTTTCAACAATTATAGCACACACAAGAGCTGCACGACTACGATCGAGAGCAGACGCAAAACACGCAGGCAATTGCACTAGGAACGCACGGTGTATACTCTTTCGGTGAGTCAACTTTCATTTTCTTATCCAAAAAAAAAAATTCGTCAAATCTAATTACAAAAGTACGAAGGAGTTGGAAACGTCGCTTTGTGCGTTTCTATATCTGCATTTACCGAATGTGAACTGAAATGGTACTTTAAAATTCGGTCGACGAACTTTCGATAGAAATCATTTGAAAAATGGCTGAAATAAAATGTGCACATCATTAAAAGAAATTTTCTCAGCACAAACTTCGATTCCATATACACTTTAGCATAAATATATGTGAAATCAACAAGCTGCTCTGGTTTCACTACCCTCATCTTATTATCTTTATGCAAAGTTTCTTCTCCGTATAACTCTTCATATTTAAAACTCCGATATTAGATATATGTGTGTGCGTGTATTTTGCAAATATATTTTGCTTGGGCGCTAGTTAGCGCACATGCCGAAAGCATTCCTCTTATCAACAAACATAATTCATGAAATATTCCCATTTTCTACAAACATATTTTTGAACATTCTATGTTGTGATAAAAATTCAATATTCACTATTGCCGCCGCATACACATTTAGTCCTCTCTCTCTCTCTCTCTCTCACACACACACACACACACACACTTTCATGCGCGTTCGCTCGCTCCTTGCTTTTCTATCATCAAAGTTATAGTAGTATTGAATGCAGAAAATGAAACACGCCAAAAAATTGAAGAAGTTGAAACTTCGAAGTTTTAGATATGCCGAGTTGCAGAGAGCCAAGTCCATTTTTTCAATCCAAAATACAAACATGCAAATTTTCAACATTTACCAAGTGTGTTCACTGCTCAAGTTGTGATAGAAAAATCCAAACCACCATCTCGCTCACACCACGCTCTCTGCTCTCTCATCCAAAGTTGTGAAAATGTCCTTGGCGTTTAATTCGATCGAAAAGATGACACAATCCAAAATGTTTGTAATAAATGCCATTTCCGTTGATGGATATAGCAGTATGTCAGTTGTTTTAAGTGTTAGAAGACAAGTGGATGTTGTGTTCTCCTCTGTCCCTCACAATCTCTCAATCTCTCGTTTTTCAATTTTCGTTGTTCAGATTTCATTACAAATGACAATAATTTTATTGGTCTGTGTGGGAGAACAGAATTTATGTCAAACATGACACTTACAATTCAAGTGGTATTTCTATTAAATCCATTAGCTTCAGTGTCACAATTGTACAAATAAATCACACAATTCCAAACGGCATTAGAGTGAGAGCAAGTAAGAGAGATGATGTAAATGTTGACTAATGTATCTTCCCCATTTTTTTATAGTTCAACTACTCGGAAATAGTGTGCAATAAAATATAAAGACGGTAAATGCCATCGATAATCTACATTACACAAATCCATCATTTATAATGCATCGATAATTTTCGTTTATCGTGTTGTTTCCATAATATTTCAAAATCGTACGTTGTATGTTCGAACATTTGTTTATATTTCGCTTTGACTATACGTGTCGCTAGTATACTAGTATGATGATAAAATAGCACAAGCATTTCACGATTGCAAATTATTGACCCAAAAAACCGTAAAACATTTGATCAAATTGAGGTACATTCGAGAGAGTTGACCAAACAGAGCAGAAAAAAACCATTTATGTGGATTATTTGTTATGCAATAGAATGGCGAATTGTGTATTTTGTGAAAATTGTATTTTAATTTGGCAGCGATAAAGTCTTGGAAAGCACTTCTTTATTTTTTTCATTATTTAAGCGGTATGATGTACTTACAGTCCGGTCATAAATTGATATTAACAGACATTACGTCCAATTAGAGAAAATTGCACTGAAATACTTGAATTCAACGAAGGTCATCATCATTTTATCGTTGTATGTTCCTCATTCTTATCCCATTCGTCCGTCTCCGTATATTTTCTTTGACTGTGTCACAATTACAGTTTTTGTTTGTTGCATGTCTTCTTTATATCGTAAATCTAATCTTGGTTACTTAAATATAAACAGTCGACCAAAAATCGAAATAAGTAAGTCAATCAAATATCTGGCAACGGCTTTTCAAATAAAATCAGCCCCAAACAATCACAACGCTATCCTTACTGACACACAAAGATGAACAGAAATCATTTTCTTTCTTCTCTTCCTTTCGCTTCATCATTCTTCACAATGCCTTTGTATCGACCACATAAATAATGTAATTTCATCAAACGGATTCATTTTTTTATTGGGAGGTTTCTTTGTTTGGATTATTTGTTTGAGTAAAAGTACAAACGAAGTGCTTTTTATCTGTAATAACTCTAGAATATGGATAAACCAGTAATGTGCGAAGGGGGGGGGGGGGGGGGCCCCCCCCCCCCTGTGATTTGGATGAGAAAAAAAATTTCGCGAAAATTATTCGAATTTGCTAGGGTTTTTCGCGGAGAAAATTCTTTCGATTTGCTAGGGATTTTCGCCTCAAAAAGTGACTTCCAAAAAAAAAAAAAAACGAAAATTTGTCTGATTTGCTAGAGAATTTTTTGTTTTTGAAAAATCACCCCCCCCTGTAAAATATAGCTCGCACATTACTGGGATAAACGATTCATGAATAGACCGCCACTGAAAAAGTTCTATGACTTTCTATTAAATAAATTCGCAGATAAACAGTTTTCGCATTTCTTGCGGCGTAGAAATAGAGAATGCGGAAATGGTTTCGATTTAAATTTTCGTCCGAAAATCGTTTTCTTGAAAGATTTGCTAAAATATTGAATTACATTTTTTGAAGCGAATGATTTAAACTGAGAATAATTGAATAATATTCTGCATTTTGTTCCTATCGCATTCGCCAAATAGTGCAATGTACGAGAGATAGAAACGAAATCCGACAGACCTAGTGCAATGCACATTTTATCATTGCTCATATGAATAGCTTTTATTTGCATTTCGATGATATTCTACGGTAGTACATACATTACTGATGATGCAAAAAACCTAAACCCTTTTTTCCGCGTTGTTAAAACTATTTCTTGAAAAATTTCAAATCTGAATATTATCTCTTTGTCTCGTTTGCAATTTTCAACAATTGTGTATGAGTTAAAGTCTTAGTACTACAGTATTAGATCCGCATTACTGACACTTCGTTCGAGAGAGGCACAGTCACTGTGGGAGTGGTAACAGCGACATTCATCCGTACCAAATTCGACACTATAGCTTTTCTTTTTTCTTTTTGTATTTAATACATCGTTGACTAGATGCTGCTCTATGTGAAATGGAAATAAATTTTGGGTGAACCATCAAGTATTTAGTCAGTAGAGAGCACTCAGAAGAGTGATACATTAAACCTCGGAACTGGTGCTGCATGCGATACTCTTATTTTTTTTGCGATACGTTTCAACCGAATATCAAGTTAATTTCATTTCAACCATTCACTCGACTATGTGTAAGCTCATAGATTTTATAAGCGCCACATACTTGCATGTCTTTTATTCGTTAATTTTTATCGCTATTGAAAATGTATTGTTTGCATTGCTCTCATTTAACACTCTCTTCCTCTTACCCATTTGCACGGCTCTCTACTTTTTTTCATTTACTCTCCGCATTCATTGGACACACTTAGTGCAAGGCAAACGCGCACAATATTTAGTGTTTGGCATACATAAGGAAGTGTGTGTGTGTGTGTGTTCGCAGGCGTTGTTGCGATTATTAGATTTATTATGACATGCCTGTTTGCATGTGTGTTTTTCTCTTTTAGTAAGCGTAAATAATCCAAACGACAGCAACGACTAGTAGTATAAACAATACGTGCCATAACAATGAGCGAGCAACATTAACAGGCAACGAATAAATAATTGGCATTACAAAGGGCAAGTGCTACTTACAGTCTTTTTTATATCAAAGTACAAAAAAAAGGAAAAGAGTTTTGAATTGCCTGACAAGACGGTTGTTTTTTTCTCTCTTCCTACTGCTCCCTGTTGAGTTGTTTCGTTTCTTTTTCTTTGTTTATTTTGACCTATTACCGTTTTCTTTCCAAGACAAAAACTATGCGATGCTTTTATTTGACACAGAACGGATCACATTTCCATCATATGACGAATATGTGAATAATGAACTTTGAAGTGAAATGCAAAGCTCAAGTTAAGCAACGAACAACAACAACAAATAACGACATTTTTATGTGTCACACACTATTAGAAGATTGTTACTTTATCATTATTATTTTTCCAGCTCTCGCCCTCTCTCGTTCGTTCCCTCGAAAAAATCGTTAAAATGACAAAATGGATGTAATTTAGTGCATACAATGCATTCAAACAAGCCATTGCACATTAAAATAAAAATGTACAAGACGCGTACAAAATAACATGTCTGGTTAATCAAAATTACGGTTGTTACGTGTGTACACGATGTTAATGATTGTAATGTAACTTCTTCAAAACCGTCGCACACTTTACGTACATTTAAAAAGAAAATGGTAGAATTTTGAAATGCTATAACCACTATTTACGGAACGTTTACTTTGGCATGAGGAAGAACATGTCGAAAATTGTTCTGATTTTGAACATTCCGTTGTGTGCCGTGCCGTCATAAATGAAATCGGTTCAGTTGTATCGCAAACTATTCATGGGTTAATGTTCCGTCGCTCAACTAAAAGCCGCTTTTATTTTATTTGAACCGAGAAATATGTGCGCAATGCAAGACATAATACTGTGATAGTAATTGCGACCGTACGTTCTCGCAGGTAAATACACAAAACATGCCGTGGCTTAGTGCCAATTATCCCATGTAAAAACATGAAAATTTATTAAAATTATATCATTTAAATTATGGAATGAATTAATGGAGAGAATGGTGTGATGTGTGTGTGTGTATCACAGCGTGATTTTGTAAATTTCACATGTTGATTCACAAAGAACACGCCAATATCAATCGACATAAACCGATTCAAATAGGTATTTTGAGTTGTCGACCAAAATGAACATATCACATATGCATATTTATTAAAATCAACCAAACCACACTCTGTAAGCCTGATGGCTCAGGATGTCATGATTTTCTCCAT